TTTTAACAACTCTACATTCAAGAGCAAGTATCTTCTGACATCCACTATGGTCTTTCTTTTCTTTCTATTGTGTTTTTGATGGCCGGTTTCTTCATTTCTTCATGTATAAAGTTCTTTATGTCATCCTACAAGTCCTCTGGCCATTGGTAATTAAGATTCAATGCATCAAATCTGTTCTTGAGATTGCCTATAAATTCAGATGTGAAAAACTTAAGATCATATTTTGGCTCTCATTTATACATGTTTTAATTTTCTTCAGCTTCAACATAAATATGCACATGAGAAACAGATTGTTCCACAGTCACCTCCAGGCTTTATTGATACTGAGCTTCTCGATCATCTACAGATATAATAACTTTGATCCCTGTGTCTTTGAGTAAATATTGACCTTTTCTTCTCAAATGATTCTATGGTGTACCTATTTCACTAGTGTTGCTATTAACCCTTTAGACCTAATGTTTGACTGAAAATTGAACCACAGATGACTTCAGTTCCTGGATTGTAAACAAGGACCAGAATCTTGCAGTTGAAACCAGCCTTCTGGTTCAGTGCTTATCAACACCAGGATTCCTGTTTATTTTTATGTGCCAGTAAAAGCAAGGGGCTCACTTTCTGGCAGTATATAAGACTGGATTTCACTGTTATTCATTATGTTTTCAGTAGCCAATACCTCACAAGTGGTTGCCTCTTCCTTCTTTCTAGTCTGTCTTAATCAGGAAACTGTTACAGTCTAGCTACCATAGATGGCCATGCTGGTTAGTATAGGGTCAAAGCAACATGATAGACACCACAGTATGAGTAACTGGAAGACTTGTGGTGGTGATATGTGTAAATGTGATAAAGATAACTTTAGTGTCAGAAAACACTTTATTGAGAAAAAGTGAGAATTCAGAATTCTTGTATTCGAAAAGGCATTTTATAATGAACTCCCATGCCATCTCTGTGAAACAGAATTATAAACCTTATATTATTCTGAATATGTAAGAAAATCACCATTAATCTTAAAATATTGTCCCAAAACTTAAACAAGACTCTGTTATGAAGAGCCATCGTGTCGATTCTGACCCATAGCAACCCTGTATATGCTTTCCAAGGAGCCATCTGACATATTATCTCACAGCACTCTACCAGTACTATACCATACCCTATTTAGTGTGCTTATTAACTAAGCAACATACTAAGTGTACTAAGCAGCAGTTGATTTGAACTGCTGAATTTGATGTTAGACGTAACTGTTGGTTAGTTGAAAATTGAGCTTGTCAGGTGTGTTAAGTTAAAGATATAAAGGGTGACCAAGGTGAGTATCAGGATTCCACATTCTCTGTAAGATATTTTCGTGTTCCTTTAATTTTCAAAGACTTCCATTTTTCCTAGATTTATACATGGTTCCAATTATTAATGGATTTTTGGAACTTGTTTTTCCTTTGTTTGAGTCATGCCCCATCAGTCAATGATGTCCCAAAACGTTGCTCCATCAATGTTGTGGGGCAGAACATCCTGTTCAACTTTATGTGCCTTTAAAGGTAAGGGGCTCACCTATTGACTCTTTATCAGACCAGGTTCCACTGTTACTTATTAGGTTTTGAATCGCTAGTTTCTCATAAGTGGTTGTCTCTTTCCACTTTCTAGTCTATCTTAATATGGGAAATCTGCTGGGATCTATTGGTATTTGAATACTGGTGGTATAGGGTAAAAGCAACACACAACATGATTAACTGGTAGTTAGGGGAAAAAGACACCTTTATTGTCAGAAATACATTGTTTAGAAAAAGGGAAACTTCTTAGTTACTTGGATGAGTCTCAGTAATTTCATAATTGATTCCCATGTCACCTCTGTGAAGCAGGCATCACAAAAATTATATTGTCACAAATATCTATGAAAATCACCATCAATCTTAAAATAATACTATCCCAAAACTTAAACAAGACTATACAACAACCTAAAATACAGCATACTAAAGAAAACACCAAAATTCTGAACAGTCTTCTAGATATTCACTAATTATCTGGTACTTTACAGATTGTAAGACGATTTGACGGCAGTCCAGTGGCTAAATAAGGCCAAAGTTTTTCAGTAAATGTATCAGTAAATTTATCAATATAAGAGCTAGTATTCATATCAAAAAATGAAATCTCTCCCAACTCATAATCCAGGAAAACACCAATCTTCATGTGTTTTACAATCTCAGAAGGACCACTTGTGTTAGTCCACTGCTGAATTTTCCAGCATCCATCCTTTATAGAAGCCAAGGTAGCTGTATTTGGGGTTAAGGAGTCTCTACACACACCTACAGCCCACTGACTTGCACCTCTTACTTCAACCTGCCAGAAATGCCTGCCGCTATAAAATCCTTCAGAACTCCGCACAGCTGTATAAACACTGAATCTCTTGGGACTGTAGGATAAGTTTGTTTGCATCTTTCCGTATTTCACACTTTTTCTATCTTCTGATATGATAAGGTTGGGGTGAGCACTTTCAGGATCAAGTGTCAAATCTACTTGAAATGTGCTGATTATTTTATCCAGGCTAAAGTGCTGTGGAGGTAGGCACCATCTGAATTCTTTTAACTCATAAGGAAATACTGCTGGCATTTTCAAGTTCTGGTACATGTCGTGGATGCTGTCAATGTCTGTCAATAATTCCAAATCTGCCTGCACATACTTCTCTGTTATATCACATAGCAGATTTTTTAGAGTGGAAATGTGATCTAAAAGTAAGGTTCTATTTTCGTTTAGTTTTTCCTTAATGTCATTCTCTTCCATCACTGATTTAAAAACATTGTTATCATATACATCACACAGTAACCGTTTAAGCCGCACAAACTCAAAGTTCAGTTCACGTTTCTTATTTAGCACTTTCCTCCACAACTTAACTGTCTGTGAAGACTGTATTTCTGATCCCGTTTCAGCAAGTTCAACTTGCCCCCTCAAAGACTTCATGTAGCCTTTGAGCTTCCTCCTGTGCCTCCATGCAGCTTGGTCAATGGGCATCAGGTGGTGATCTAGGTGTTGAGAGGACATCCTGCACCGGGGACACAACAGCTTCAGGTCCTTTTCACAGAAGAGGTCCAGCTGAAGATTGTGTTTATCACACAGAGGTTTCTCTTTCCTTTGGATGCTGTTGCTCCTTGTGGTGAAAAGTTGCTTAATAGTATCAAGTATATAACACAATTGATGATTTTTTCTGTAGTTCTTGTCAAGGCAGTGTTGGAGGCATTTGGGGCAGGGGTAGATGTCCTCTAGACCCTCCCAGCACTGCTGGATACAAGGAAGACAGAAATTGTGGCCACAGGAAATGGTCACTGGGTCTTTCAGGTAATCCAAGCAGATAAGACAGCTAGCCTCTGCTTGGAGGTTGGTCAGGGAGGCTGCAAAGGCCATTGTACTGCCAGGACTTCAGAAGAAGGGAATTTTCAGGTGGTCTCTTTACCCAGAAGCTAGGAAAGAGTCCTCAGTCTTCAGTTTCCTACCTGAAGTGAGTATCTAAGAATCGAATGTCCCAAGTAACTCAAAAGTGTAACTTCGGTGTCCACAGTTCAAGAGAGCTTCAAAAGGAGTCACAATACCTCAGCCAGTAATTGACCTTCCTGTTTTCCTCTCCCATGGTACCCAGTGTTCCTTCCTGCTGAAGGTCAGCTCTAGTGTCTTTCTGCTCCAGAAATAGTTACAAGTCCAAGTCACTCTGTTATACCTGTGGATAAGAAAATATTGACAATTTAAAAGGATGCCTAAGCTAGCTTTTATCCCTCCTTAATATAAAGCAAACCTCAGGTAGAACTAACACTACTATAGAATATTTAAGGAGTTAAAAACAAACAAGATGACCAATTTTCATTGGTCTAAACCCCTAAGATCAATAACTACTGACTTATTGGTTTCTCTAAAGAATTAGTGAAAATTATATCTGTATTTATGTTTTGTTAAGTGCCATCAACTCACTTCTGACACATTACAAACCTGTATAGGGATTCTGATTAAGGGATGGTGGGTTTGAACTGACACCTTAAAGTTATCATCTTTATCCTACTGCACCACAACAGGACTGCATATATACGTAGAAAAAGAGAGACTTACCTGGTGGAGATGGCTCATGTAAGAGGCTGACATGTGCCCTGTGCATTAGGAATCAGCGTGCAGGTTTCTTCTGACTCAGGTTACTGCAGGGTCTGATGGACACAAGATCCCCAGGTCCACACAAGCTTTCACAGAAGTGAAGACAGAGAAATCTAAGACTGACAGGTCAGAAGGAAAGACAAAAAACTTGAGGTCAGATTACGACGAACTAGATAGAGGACCCATAATCAATAAAAGGGCCATAAATTTTGCCTTGTTGTCCATATACATTATATATACATATATCTAACGCAGACCACAAGGAGCTCTGGTAGCTTAGTGGTTACACATCAGGCTGCGACCCTCAAGATGAGCAGTTCGAAACTACCAGCTGTTCTGTGGGAGAAAGATGAGGCTTTTTGCTCCCGTAATGATTTATAACCTCGGAAACCCTGCGCAGGGTCACTGTGAGTAGGAACTGACTCCACCGCACATAACCAAAATGCAGACCACACCCTTAGAAACTCCCTTTCACTGATTTGTTGATCATTTGAGATCCCATCATGGAGGTTATTAGATTATAACTGTTTGTTATCATGTGTGTGGATTACACTATATTGGATCACAAGATTGTCAGTGTCTCTATCAGAATTTAACTTTCAAACTACATCCTAGTGATTTACTGATCATAGTGGCTCAGTTAAACTTGGTGACAGTCAAAACCCAAGTTCACTGTGTGCAAAATATGTAAGACCAAGAAGATCTGAGACAGGGTTTTTGGAGAATCTATTGAAAGTTCATAAGTGCAAGAACCAAGGAGAATCTCTTCCACCAACTATCTAGCACAGGA